CAGCTAATTTCCAATTCAATAGATTGGTGACCAAAAGATAAATTGTTGGAAATTACATAGTTTTTTAAAAATTGAAGTTAATTTTTTTAAAATTCTAATGGCATGAATTTGGTTAAATATAAACAATTTAAAAAAATGTTAGTTAAGTGCCAATGACCTTTTTTTAGTAATATAGTAGATTACTTTATTAAAAATTCAATGAAATGTTAACAATTTTCATGAGCACGAAAAATCTCCGAAAAAAAAACTTTTTATAAAAACAGTAGTTGCATAGAAAACAACATACACAACCTAGATTTAAGATATTTTTTGGAGTTCATGAACGCATTTTAGAACTAATACACTATAATATTTCCTAACAAAAGTATAGTTTGGGGGGAAGGATAGGTTGGGGGTACGGGGGCAAGGAGTGTAAGCGAGAGGTCTCGGGTTCGAGTCCTCCCGCTTACACTAAAAAAAATATATATATATATATAGTTTGAACAATTTATTCCATGTCAATATCTGAAGTTTTGTCCAAATCAACTTCATTTTCATCATAATAATCGTCAATTGTGTCATCATCCTCGTTATCATCTATCTCAAATTCAGTGATTTTTTCCAGAAACAAGATGGTCAGGTTTTTGCCTTACTTCATCATCATTCACATTAATAAATTCATGACCAACATCTTCCCTAATTAAAGAACCTGGCTCACCAATTTAATCATTAATTTATATATTAAATAATTCATCTTCTTGAGAAGCATCCACATGAACTGGCTGACTGTCATCTAATAGATTGTCTTCAGATGGAACAAAGACGGATCAAACAAATGTTGATGACGGACCTTTTGTGCAACATGCCAATCTCTTCTCAATTTTGTATCCCGCACATAGAAAACTTGAGTAGCTTGAGTGGCAAGAATATAGGGATCATTTTCATACCACTTTCTACTGACATTGATGTTAGTAAGAAAACCATCAATTGGCACATGTTTAAATTTATCTAACTCAAACCATTCGCACTTGAACAAAACAACTTGACAATTGTTGTTCGCATAGGTCAATTCAATAACTTCACTTAAAATGCCATAGAAAATAAACGCAACGGATCCTCTGTACCACAACCCTGTCTCACACCCTATCCCACCCCTCATAAACTTGCCAAGTGTCCTTTTATTAACCCAATCCTGAAACAACCCAACTCGAACCATGTTTAATTATTTAACCGATTAATCGGGTTGAGAAACTTAATCACACAAAACCAAAATCCATTAAACTAAAAACCCAAAAAACAAAATTAAAGATTAAACAAGGCACAAAAAAAAACCCCCCACAAGGCCACGATTCTGGTTTCCCATCAGATTTCACTCCTCCTCAAAAGCTTCATCACAAAATTCGGGCAGGACAACAAAGTGCAATTCAACGCAGCAGGCCACGATTCTGGTTTCCCATCAGATTGGTATCCTTCTCAAAACCTTCATCGCAACGCAGCAGGGCTGTCCGAGTTCATCATCTTCACCATTCAGCTTTGACGAAATATTCACGGAGCAAGGGACGTAGGTGAATTTTCCTAAACTAAAGCCTTTTCTCCTAAACTAAAGCTAGTCTTCAACGGAGCAAGGTACGTAGGTGAATTTTCCTTCAAATAAGTACTCTTCATATGCAACGAATTGCGTTATTTATGTGCCGCTTCATATGCAACGAATTGCGTTATTCATGTAAACATCAGCACAAGCCTCTGAAGTCAACCTGAAGCCTCTGAACTTAAAGAATTTATGCAAAGGGATTGCTGGGTTCCTTCAAATACTTACTCTTTGATGATTTTCGTTAAGTTTCAGGATTTATTTTTTTGGGTCTCTGTTGATTGAAGATCTATTTGCTTAAGATGTTTTTGTTCACAAATTTTTACGCTTTTTGTGTTTGTATTGTACCTGTTGATGTGTCTTTGAAAGGAGAAAATCTCTATCCAGGCTTTTAACTATTACAAAAACAATGAAGAGTTTGGTTAATAAGAAGAATAGTAAATATAGAATCAGCTCTTAATTCAATATTGATGTCTTTGGCTTACAACCAATTGGAGGAGATTTACACTGTTGATTACTATTATTACAAGTTGTAAACCACTATTACTTTGGTTGGTTTACAAGCAATTCTTGGACACTCAAATTAGCTGATGCTGTTTTTACACCCAAGTGTTAAAGGCATTAAAACCAATTTGCAGATATTTACACCAGTAGTTATTAATTTAACACTTTTAAGTCCTGCCCAATCCTACTACCTTACAACCATTTGTTGGACATTGAGCCTTTTTTTTTTTTTTTGGGACATTGGTTACCATACGGGCCTTGTGCATATCCTTATAAATATCATTCATGATGCTGATCCTTGACTTTTTCCCCATAGGCAAGAGTCAGGTGGAATTCCATGTAGGTTTTGATAATACAAGATTAACGAGGGTGATAATTGTTTTTGCAATACAGGGGATGAACGGCATTGGGAAGCAGATAGCGGATATTCAATGATTTTTTTTATTTGAATGATGTAAATTGTGAAACATAAGACACCCATTTACCATGGATTTGGAGCCTGCCGATTTAAACCAGTTGTGCAGATCCAACAACATTTGGTGTAAACTCGTATAATTTCAGTGAGATTATGATTTTTACGCAAATCTAGTTGTATAAATCACAAGCTCAAGTTTTACACAAAGTTGTATGAATTTATACGAATAGTAACATTACTTTAATAATTATTAGATGAATAGTAAATATAGAATCACCAAAGTGGTATGAAAAGCAACATGGTAGGGAAAAGCAACACGCTGGGTTTGATATTGACTCCCTAGACCTCAGAGTTCTAATCTGAACTTCTCGTTTCTTATGGTTGTTTGTGAGACTTTTGGCTTCTTCTTTGTTTACACATTATACTCAAAGACGGTTTCATTTTTTCTATTTATTATTTATTTTTTAATATTCTAGTTTGGGTGTTTATACAGTAAGTTATCTGCTCTTTGTTTGATCATTCCCTATGAGGATATCTACTTTTCATTCATGGGTCGAGTACTTTTGCATGGGTTATTTTATTCTAGTGAAATTCTGTTGTGTGTGTGATATTTCTCCTGGTGACTTTGCAAATTGTGCCATTTCTTTGTGAATACTTTGATGCATTAGTTTTGGGCCTCTTCTCTTGTGTATGAATAGCTTGAATGCATACTCATTTTTCACATATTTTCCTCTGTGCTATTTGCTGAGTCATTCTTTTCTGTGGTTTAATAGGTGCACGATTTTCCCTACCATGTTGCTTTTCACCAAAAAGGGTAATAAATTATGTATTTGTATTCGGTAATTTGATACAGGTCATTTGTTGGGTTTTGGGGGAATATGGAGAATGATTTGCCAACTCATGAAATCCAATCATGTCGTAAATTGGACTTTGAAGATGTTGACTTGCAGGAGATAAATGATAATGCCTTACCTCTTTGTATTACTGATGGCAATCACGGAAATCAAATTTTTCTTCCTTTGGCTATACCTGATGACTTGGTCCCGAAACTTGACATGGAATTCGATACTGAAGTAGCAGCCAAAAATTTTTACCAAAAATATGCTAAAGCATCTGGTTTTGGAACTCGATTGAGTAAGGGACATAAAGACAAAAATAGTGATTTGATGTTGGACAGGGTTTTTTGCTGCTCCCGTGAAGGAAAAAAGCCAAAAGACAAACGCAATATGATTGTTAAGTGTCCTCGTCCAGAAACAAGATGTGAATGCAGTGCAAGGATGAAAATTAGCTGTAGAAAAGGTGGAAAATACCGTGTTGTGCAATTTGTTGCTGAACATAATCATGAGCTATCAACTCCAAGCAAAACTCATTTATTCAGATCTCATAGACATTTGACAATGGCACACGAAGCTGAAATAGATATGGCCCGAAGTTGCGGAATTACACCAAAACAATCGATTGAACTGATGTCGAAACAAGTTGGTGGACGAGAAAATCTTGGGTTCATTCGAGATGATTTAAAAAATTACTTACGATCCAAAAGATCCATACCAATGATGCAAGGTGACACAGGAGGAGTCTTAGAGTACTTACAAGGCATGCAATTAGAGGATCCAAATTTTTTTTACGCCATTCAAGTAGATGAAGATGACTTGATAACTAACATATTTTGGGCTGATGCAAAGATGAGAACGGATTTTGCTCATTTTGGTGATGTGGTTTGTTTTGATACAACTTATAGAAAGCACAAAGATGGGAGGCCAATTGCTTTATTCGTTGGTGTAAATCATCATAAACAAACTACTGTTTTTGGGGCTGCTTTATTATATGATGAGACAATTCTGACATTTGAATGGCTGTTTGACACATTTGCTAAGGCTATGATGGAAAAAATACCAAGAACTATTCTTACAGACCAGGACGGAAGAATGGCAACGGCTTTGGCTTCTCAATGGCCAACAACGTATCACCGCTTATGTATATGGCATATCTATCAAAATGCAGCAACGCATCTAGCTGATGTCTTTAAAGATTTTCAAAATTTTGCGGCAGATTTTAGTCACTGCATATATGACTATGAAAATGAGGATGATTTTTTTGAGGGATGGAGTGAAATGCTAAAAACGTATGGTCTGGAAGACAAGAAGTGGTTGAAGAAAATGTTTGATATAAAAGAGAAATGGGCTTTAGTGTATGGGAGAGAAACCTTCTGTGCTGATATGACCACAACCCAACGAATAATTTAAGGAGGAGCTATGCACATGAAGTGTATGAAAAATGTTTGTATATACACATGAAGTGTATGAAAAATTTAAGGAGGAGCTATGCAAAGGGATTGATTGTAAGTGGGAAGTTGATGGTGAATTAGGAAATCAAATGATTTACAGAGTTACACCACATGGTAAGACTTCCCACCATCTTGTAACTTATGATTCATCCACGAATTCAATTTGTTGTAGTTGTAAGAAATTTGAATTTGCTGGATTTTTGTGTTCACATGCACTAAAAATATTGATGACTCTGAATATTGTAACAATTCCGGATGCATATATATTGAAGAGATGGACAAAAGCAGCCAAAACAGGAAATGTGCATGTTTCCAGTGAAAGTAGCCCGGAAATGGAGTTAAAGGCAAAATTAAGTTTTCGTTACAAAGAGTTATCCTATCTATATATGCAGCTGATGACAAAAGCTTCTGAATGTGATGAAGCTTATCAAATTGCTAAAGATGGATTTTGGAAAATGTCAGAACAAATGGATGCATGTTGTCAAGGGAAAAAGAAAATGAAAGAAGTGCGTATTGAAGAAAATTGTAGTGCGTATCAAGATGTTGACACTAATCCATCTGAAGTTGCCTATAATAAAATAAAAGGCATCAAAGTGAAAGAAAAAGTCACCTACAAGTCGAGCAAGAGGCCAAGAAGTGCACTGGAAATGGCTACTAAGAAACGCAAGTACAAGGTGAAAGAGAAGTCTTCATCGAAAAAATTACAGGTTAGACAATTTATTTAGTTTATGTGAACAATGGTTTTTGATTGTTTGACTATTACTTTTTTTTTTGGGTCCCTTAGTTGTCTGATGAATGATGAGTATAGAAATAGTATTAGGATCTTTATTTATAATTTGGATAAAAATGATTGTAGGAATTTGGAAATAATGTTGTTCATTCAAGTATGGATTCTGCTACAATTCAAGGTTTTGTTCGAGAATTACCACCCCAGCAGGTATAGTTATTCGTCATTTTTGTCTTGTATAGCATAGTAGATATGTCATTTATTTTAAATTTTTATTTGAATAATTTATTCTTTAGATGACTAAATTACATTAACGATATATTTTTTCAATGAAATTTTTAATTTGTGGTCGTCTCTCTTTAATTATATCAGGAATTTGGAATTCCAATAGAAGACATTTACAATAGGCGAAATCCTAAAAACATGACACAATTATTGCAAGTAAGCAAATATTATGCTTTTAATTTGTGTTGTTTCTTATTTATATTAATTTTTATAGTATTATACTTTTACAAGTATATAGCTATTTTTATAATGAAGGATGTCTTCTATTTCTTATTTTTTGGGCAGACGTTGGACCCTAACTTCTACCAAGGCTATGATTTGATGTCTTCAAGTTCAATAGCACACCAGCAGCGTCAATGAGTTTTGTCCAAGTAAGAAAAAATCTTGATTAATTACTTAATCTTATATTCATCATTCATAATCAGGAGTTATTATTCTGGATATGAAATTAGGAGTTATTATTGGCATTTCCATTGACATTTTTTATTATTTGAGCTAGACAAAAATATTCATCCTTCATTGAGTTCACTATCACTCCCTTGCTATCAAACTATGATTAAAATGAAATGTAGGGGTGTTTTTATATTTTACATGTAGAAAAGTCAAGTGGAGTGAACAATTCTGTAAAAGATGACTTTGATAATCTGGTGCAAGTTGATCTACCGAACGAAAAAACTGTTGACAATAACCTTTTTCTGTGCATACGGTATATCTATATGGGATCAGGAATAATGCACTTTTTGCACGTTGAAGCTCAATGAAGGATGAATATTTTTGTGATAGTGAACTCAATGATAGTGATATTTTAATCACAGCTGACAATAACCTTTTCCTGCTTTTCATAATCAGATCATCCAAATTTGATGTATTTAGGGTTGGTATATGTATATGGGATCAGGAATAATGCACTGTATGCACTGTGAAGAGTTTTCTGCATATATTAGTTTGATAAGTTACACTTATAATTCAATACATTTGCTAACTTAGCATTTGTTTTTTGTAGGCACAAGAACTGGGAAATAATGATGATAGTGATCAACAAGTTGCTAAACATGAATGATCAGGGCAAAAATCTTGGATGGTGTGAAGTTATACATTTATACACCTCGGAATCTATCCACTCTTTTCTTTCTGTTCCCTTGTAGAAGAGGGATCATAGATTTTTATACACATTCCATTTTTTGTTTTCCTCTTTCTGAGGTTTGAGCACAACGTTATGTTTTAAAGCCACAAAAGCAATCCATGGAGACCAAAGCCAATAATTTTCAACTTTGACATGAAATAACATCTTAGCTGCACTTAATCAGACAAGGGGAATATCCACAACACCTTCCCAGATATTTGGGATTTCACTTATCATCTTACAATCAAAGCAAAAGGCTAACGATCTCACACACAATTAACTTGAGTCTGCATAGCTCTAGTCTCTCTCAAAGATACTGCAACAATATATGCTTTAAACACGCGAACATTGAAGGGAAGCATGCCAACCCCTTATTCAGTAATAGTAGTGGATCGAAATAACATGAACCCCTAGAATGCAATCTCTGAAGCAGAATTTACTTCGGAAGTCTCTAGAATGCAAAAGCAAGACATTGTAAATCAAACCAATCGTAACAAGCTCTAGAATGCAATCTCTGAAGCAGAAACAGAATGAGAGGCTTTGTGCAGGTCAGACACTGCAATACAGCATTGGCATAACAACTGCACAGTAAAATGAAAGAAATCTTGAATATACTTGACAAATAATAAAAAATCCTATGAAATTTGTTTCAGTACATTATTGCATTAAGAGTCTGTACATTTCCTATATATATAAAATTTTTCTAGAGCTATTGATATGTAAAAGCACAAGAAAAGCAGGAAAAATTTTGAAGAAATACCTGTTTCCACAATTTATAAGACCTCTTGGAGACATGTTGAAAACTTCATAGTGAAAGGACTTCACAAAATCTTCATACCGAAATAGCATCTGTAAAATAAAAGAAAAAAATTTATCCATAAACTTTCATGAATGACTAGGCCCAGAATACACCATTTAGATTCATCAATCAAGCAGCTTAAGAACTGGCAAACAAAATCTTTGCTGAAATGTTTCAAACAGATGCATTACTCCTATTTAATATTTTTGCTCTATCTGTTTAAATGATAATAGAATTGCTCCTATAATTCAGACCTTAACTTTCTTCAGCTGCCTGTTGAGTAAGCAAACTAACCCTCTCTTTTTTTTTTTGTTGACTCGCTCCATTTTCCCCTCACGATATATGTAACCAGGGGAAGTACAACAAAGACTAGAAACAAAGCTGGTATATCAGTTTCCCTTGGCTAAAGCATGTCCTCACCAAAACAATCATGTCCCGTTTTCCTCTAAAACCTCTTTGGCATAGCAGATCGCACTTAACTACATGTAAGAATTATAGAAACAACACAGAGATCAGCTAAGTAGACCACATCATCAACTTCATCATTCAACTCAATTCACTAATCTGCTGCACATCGTTATATAAGTGAATATCAACCAACCATCAGAGTTAAAGGCTATGACAGCTATAATTTGAGAACAGATTTCAGAAAGGAGTCACAATAAATCCGAATGACAGAATAATGGGCAAAGAAAACTGCGGGAAAACAAAGGCAAGAAAAACCTACGAAAAAAATGATTCATGACGCCTAGGCATTTGATCGAACAGGTGGGGAGCTTCGTCCAATTGCCCATTGATCACTCATAACCTGAAGAAAGGGCTCCGGAGAATGACCACGAAATTGGGGTTCCCAATGTTTCTCCACGCTATTAGAGATGCGCTAACCTTGGGATGCTTTACTCCTAACCCCACAAGGTTCCGAGATGGAGCACAACCTGAGTCTCGGTTAAGAACGGTGATTTTTGTGCTTTCACACGGCGCACGATTCCACCATCAGATTTCCTTCGACTTCGTGACGAAGGACATAGCATATGATCATCAGCCGAAATCATGCCACCAGGCATTTGAATTGTGAGTGATCTCTGATGAGCTGATGAGTGATATCTGACGGAAGCTTTTGAGGAGGAGTGAAATCTGATGGGAAACCAGAATCGTGGCCTTGTGGGGGGTTTTTTTTTGTGCCTTGTTTAATCTTTAATTTTGTTTTTTGGGTTTTTAGTTTAATGGATTTTGGTTTTGTGTGATTAAGTTTCTCAACCCGATTAATCGGTTAAATAATTAAACATGGTTCGAGTTGGGTTGTTTCAGGATTGGGTTAATAAAAGGACACTTGGCAAGTTTATGAGGGGTGGGATAGGGTGTGAGACAGGGTTGTGGTACAGAGGATCCGTTGCGGAAAATAATATCCTTATCTTTATGAGATCCTTCTACACACACGACACTGTTTTGAGTCACTCGATGAGCGTCATGCCTTTTTTTGTTGAGAAAATTTATTCCATTTATAAAACAATCAGAGTATATTCCAACACGCTTGCTAGGTTCCAATGCAAGGGAATATATATCATCAGTATCTTGTAAACTACCTTGCTTACATAAACTTCCAATCTAAAAAATAAGAAAAAAAAGAAATACTTGTTCGTCTTTGCCTCAAATACACACAAAAATAACATATTCAAATGCATATAATTTACTCGTTTCTCAAAGCATAACAACAAAATTCCTCCCTTGATGTATATTGGTTCAAAACTAAACTTCTCTTATTGACTATACTTATTTTCCCCATGACTCATGCTGCTGATCGCCAACGGTAAGTTCAAAAGTGTGAACCACAGAGTACTCACAGAACAAGAAGGCCCAAGATGAATCAATAAGTTTTATGTTTTATCATATGCATGTCACTTGTTACTATGTATTAAATCTTGTTGATTTCTTCTACTGCATAACTAGAAGGTTGATGCTCCTCCCCGTTCGTAAATTGATCATGCTATAGTAGATCAAGCAATTAGCAAGAAAAGCCAATAGTAAAACACGAACCAAGAACAATAACGATCAATATCTGCTACATTGATTTGAATTTACAAAAGTAGAAATCTGTCTATAATAGCGAAACATCAAATCATCTAAAATTAGCTTATGGACACTGGAACAAAAGGCTTATAATTTGGTAAATTATCACTTATTTCACGAAGTTATCATAGCAAATTAATCGCTATAGCCCAAGCCATAAGTAAACTAAACTAAGTCACAGTTAATTTGAAGGGGTTTTGCAAAGCAAACCTTTATGCTGTAACAAAACCTTGTGATTAAGATAATTGAGCCCAAAGTTTAATCGTGTTCACCAATATCAGATTGCTTAGGCACAACTCGACAATTTAATTGCATATTGATGATACTGTAGATAGCAGTTAAGGAAAATTTTACCTTTTGATTGCAGATAGCATTGGTAAAAGAAAAAAAATTATCCATGCTGACCCAAAAAAAAAAGGGACAAGAAAAGAGACTTCTCCCTATTTGTCTATCAGATTTGAGGGTTTAAAGAGAGGGTCTCGATATTTATTGCTCCCTTTGTATGTCTGCCAATTTTTGATAGTTTAAGAGATGGTCTTGATGTTTTCACGGAGATCAGATGACTAATTTTACAGTAATACATAACAAAGAAACGAGGAAAAGAATATTCATGTTGAACTTCAACGTGAAACTATTTTAGAAATCTGTTACTTTTTTTTAGAAATCCATTTATTTTATCTTTTCTTTATTTTTTATCTTTCCTTTTTTTATTTCTTTTTTTTTCACTCATTATTTTGCTAATTTGTTTTTTATTCATTTAAAAAATACTAGTAGTACTTTTGATTTGTTGACCCAGAAGCCGATAGGAAGGAATTGTTACATGAATGATTCCTGAAAGTAGCCAAATAGCGATACTGGTACATTTATTTATATATTTTTAATAATATTGAATTGTGACGTTATACTAGTTAGATATGACGGGTTTTCAATATAAGTGCAAGTTTAAATCCAAAATATACTCATTTGACTGCACGTATACAGGTCAAAACAATAGTTGCCAAAGATCCAAAATATACCCATTCAAGAATTCCAACTTAATTTACAACCTAAAAGTGTAACATGAGGGTACATTGCCAAAGATCCCCAAATACATTCCATCTATAAAAATACAAGTACATGAAGATATACACACTAGTTCATGCTTACTTGCTCCGGTCTCCACTCCTGTAAGGAAAACAAAACTAAAGGAATGAGCTAAAAATCTAGTGAGGTTCCCAAACAAACAATTAGGTAGAGAAACCATGGAAGTATTACATTTAACAATTTGCACACTTTCACAGTAATATACAGTCATTCAAAAAATAAACATTCAATCATTGGAAAGATATGTGCTCACTTAGAGCCATTCATTCATTCAGTCGTTCAGTCTCCGACCATTTCTCCCTTATACCTCCAACATGTGAAAACATTTGAAATAAAACTCCGACAGTGATCATTTCATTCAGTCAGTCATTTCATTCATTGCATTTCATTCACTAGCTAACTCTCCACCAGATTTCGTGGTCATACTCGAATATATCAAAACATTGTCCTAGGGTCACCAGCCACCCGACCGAGTCTGCTTCTGGCTCGAGTTGACTGGCAACAAAGGGCAAGGGCCCAGTTCAGCCAAAGGCTTACATTCATGTACAAGTAACATTCAATCAATTTGATCATTGAAAATCTCACATTCACTTAGGTCGAGTGCGATAAAGTACACACTCATCTATTGAAAATCCATTTAACAATGATTGGAAAGCATTTACCATTTAAACAATCTCTCACAAATAGTCACTTATTGTACAAACACACAAGGAACACTCATCAATTGGTCGCCCTGGTTCTTCCTCTAGAACATTCTCAAGTCATGTGATCATGTAATCCGTCAAGAGTCTACTAACTTAAAGCCAAGATAATGAGAAAATATGAGATTCGATGCTTCACTTAGCAACCATAGAAACTACAAGTTTAACCCTAATATTAGAAGACTAAAAGGGCCACGATTTCTTGTTTAAATCAAGTTCAAATCAAGTGAAATATTTCATGCATGCTAAGGTTAATTAACATATCACCAAGTATTTCAAATCAAAAT